TTTTTTTTTTTTTTACAACACACAATTCTCCCCTTTCATCCTCTTTCACTACTGACATAATGCCGCTGGCATTAGAAGCGGCATAATAACACACGGCGTTTGTTTGACGCCGAGAAAGGTGATTGCACGATTTAAGAAGAAGGGGCGAGATGCACATCTCTTCTCTTGGTCTCCGTGCTTCTCGGGGTCGGTCGCTAAAGTCTTCTTCGTCTCGCTTGGTCGTTTCTTTCTTTCTCTCTTTCTTTCTTTTTTTTTTCCTTTCTTTTTACGTACCTCTATCTTCTTCTTCCACAACAGTTTTCTCACCTCGTCACGCGTCTCTGATGCGGTTTCGCGTTTCGTGTATGTGTGTGTGTGTGTGTATGCATGCGTGTGTGGAAGGCCATCATCACGCTGGTTTTTCAAACATGGTGATATCAGGGTCAACTTCATTCGCATTTTATTCGATGATTCGTCATCATAGAAATCACGGTGTCATGCATTCGATATTCTTGATATACATGTATGTATATTTCGGCGATAGATTAATTTTTAATTTAAATTTCGTACGGAGATGAGCAAAATTTATAAAATATGCAAATAAAATTGACATTTTATAATTAAAAATATTATAATTGTATCTTCAGAAGATTATTTTATCGTGAAAGTTTTTTTACTCTCGAATCTTGAAAGGGAAGAAGTTTTATTTGACAGGTGTGAAAAAAAAGATTTTGCAAAAAGATGAAGAAAATTATTGAATTACACAGATAAAACGATAATATTCAATGTTCAATATTGTGTGTGGTCCGAAGATATTTATTTATTTATTTTTTATAATAACATTTGGTATTACGGTAAAGTAATTCTAGCTGTGATGAAGATTTGTTCATCGATTCTGCTGATTCACTAAGGAAAATGTATAAAAAGGATTGTTGATGTCATTTAGATCGGTGGAAATTTGCAAAAGTCGCGTAATTTTAAATCGCTGCTTTCCATTCATTAATTTTTTACACGCGTACAATTTATAATTTTATTAAATTGAAAATAGAAGAGACACGTTTTTCAAAGATTACAATTTATGAAAATGAATTTTTCTTTATTTTTGCATTTTATTATTGTCTTAAACTAATAATAATCTGACGAGATAATTTTTTTATTAAATTAAATCAAAGAAAAAAAAAGAATTTGTATTTACTTTTAATAACTATCAAAAATATTTTTAAATTACTTTTATGTTATCAAGTACTATTAAATACGTACCAGGTATTGATAGTACAAATGCAATTAATGTACCATGGAGTGAGTAAGACTGTTATTGATATATATGTATAATTATATCCTATATGCAATAACAGTATGAGAAAATTATAGGAAGAAATTTTCTGAGAAATAACTGTACATAAGCAGTGTCTCTTCCATGGGTAATGCCGTCAACTCGTGTTGTTAAAAGCTGTTGCAAGGATCATCGTTTTGATCTCTTCGAACGAAGCGATACGTATATTCTGTAATAAATTATCTGCGTCAATAGTACGTATAGAAGAATACCGTTCCTTTTTTGACGAGAGAAGATTTGTTATTGGAAAAACCGTGTGCGAATTATTATCGAAGAAACGATGAAAAAGTCATTATTTTTTAAAATATAATTTTTATGTTATTTTCTAAGAATTCTCATCTCACTCGAGTATCCAAATTTTTTCATATACAAGACGTTTGACTACAGTTATTCTTTGAATCAAATTAAAAAATAAGAATAAGAAATGATTTCAATTCCATTGGGAATATTCGTTTACTTGAGATCGATCAATCAATAAATCTTGAAAAAAATTAAGAAAGATGTAGAAGGGTAAAAAATTGGTAAAAATTACAATTACAATTCCTGCCATTAATGTTGCTTATATTTCACGCAACCCGTGTAAGTCGTAAGCGTGTATTATCGCGAGGTTTCTCGATGTGTAGTTGCCTACCATAAGTCATCGGAACAATGCACGAGCACATAGGTATTATTTACTCTACCTTCGTACTCGAGCTATGATCTATACTCTATGCGAGTAGTCTGCCATCTATACTTATTTCCATGTACTTGTTTCTCGATTAATGTCTCCCGATTATTAAAAATTAACACGTCGAATCATTTGTAAATGTATATCAATTACTCGCAATAGGTACATACGCGATGTAACGATAAAGTATTATATCCTTTTTCATCCTTCAAACGATTCAAAGTGTAGTTTGGAATGTTACGAGGCGGAATTGGCGCTTGTAAAAGTTAACAGGAAACATATCCGGGTTCAACCAGCTATATTTCACGAGTCGAAGTCTTGTAAGAGGAGAAACACGTAAAGATAGGTAAACGTGGCCCTTTACAAGGTTAGGTTAGGTATTTTCTTCTGAGTGTTCAAAAAGGATTCCAGCCACCAACAATGTACAAAGTACGTAAGTATATTGTAGTTAACAGAGAAACGAATGTTCGCTATATAAATAAATACGATACGTATAGTATTTAAAGGAATTAGATTTGAGAATTTGTTAAGTTTTTATCGATTTTATCAATTTACTATTAATCTATACGATACAAAGTGGGATGAGTTAAATATTTTTTTATGATTCTCAAATCGATTTTTATATTTTATCTCCGATTTTATTCTTTTGTTGAAAATCTTTAAAACTAATTTACCAATAATGTGGCCAAAGAAAGCGGGGAAGGTATTATAGTTAGAGGGTGCGTTTTCGTAGTAAGTTGCAGTGTGTAGAGGCAGACGAATTTCGATGAGCTCAACGAGTTCGAGGAACACATGTGCCGTGTGGTAATGATCATTACCGTGTAATGATCGGACCAATCGATTGGCTTCGATTGGTCCTGCGTGTTAGTGGTTCCCAACTTTGTTGCTGCGTTATTCGATAGTTAGATTAGGTTAGATTAAATTAGATAATTTTTAATTTCGATATTTCGAAAAAACGAGACATTATATTTATCTTTTCTATTCATCAAGTATTGCTAAAAATATATAAAAAAAAAAAAAAAATAGAAAATAATTGGTATCTCGAATCTGCTCTATTTTACTTAGATTTCAAGATCCACTACTTAAATTCCAATTTCAATCTATTATTAATTAACACATTCGATGGTATCAAAAATCGGAAAGTATTCCTTCGATATAAGATTTTTTCAATAAATATGAAAAAGTGGTAATAAAATGAGCAATAATGAAATAAAAAAGAAAAGAATAATCGAATATCTAAAAATTCTTTTGACAATTTGTAGGTATCAATCTCTATAGAAAATTCCCATAAACGCACATATTGCTTTCAAATTAATTAATTAGTTAATTCGATGTTTTAATCAGAGTTTTTTATCATGCACATTTGTTTGTTCATTAAACCGAAGAATATGGAAAGAATATAGGAAAATTGAACGCATCAGGTTGAAAAACACTGGCTAAGAGGGTACTGTACGTAACCGGTACGCGGCAAGTTCGCACCTCCGCAAAGAGGGTCCATCGTGCGCTCGCCCTACCGCGCAACACCGCTCGTTAAACGAATTAAGTAGTTACGGTTTGTTTAATCGGGGCCACGGAGGCCTGAATTAAGTTGTTATCGCGAATTAGCTGATTATACCGAGGCGGCGCGAGGTGTCGAGTTGATTTGTTGTTGCGAAATATGGCATGAGGTTTGTTTATGCTCGCCACGCCCCACACCCCTCGCCGACCTTTCAGCTCGTTTACGGCTGACCTTAAATAAGGTGCATAGACCGTTCCATCCATCCACGCTACTCTCTCTTTACTCTCTTTCCGTCCATGATCCCACCCCTTTCACTCGCGCCACGGGAACCAGGGGATGGATAATCATTCTCTATAATGCTATGATAACACTCCACAAGTGCATGATATATCGCTAATGGCAGGAGACTCGTAATCTGCCTTTTTTCGAGAAACACGATACATTTTTTCACCGGGCTAAAACTAATATTGACTGTAACAACGTGTTTTTTTTTTTCCCTTTTCATTTAATGTAACTATGGTATCACGTTTCCATAGGAAATTTAAGTCTCTGATAGACAGTCAATTTTTTTTCTTAAATTTCTTAAATTTCTTAAATTACATTCGATGCGAAAGAACATTCGATAGAAAAAACAAGCGCTCGAATAATTATTGGAATAAATTTATCTTGTTGGCGACGAATTCGATAAAACGGTAAGAAATTGATAATGAAACATCACGTGGTTGAGGAAACCGTCAGGAGAGAGGAGGTAAAGGGAAGGTCATAGACGTGTCGCGTTGAAGAGCGGTAAAAGGATCGTTGGTCATTTTCCACGAAAATTATAGCCATCTATGCGCATAATCCCCTTTATGGCCGCGTTGCATCAAATTATAACTGGCAACGGCGCTGCCATCGTCTTTCCTTCGTTGGTCTCTTCCTCTCCTCTCGACCTGCGCGCTTCGTTTCCCGTTTTTTTTCGTCTTCTTGTAGGTACGCGTCCTCGAAGCCTCGTAAAACGGCACATTCCGCCAATCATCGCGGCACATCGGCCAGATACGTAACCCTTCGACCCTCGAGTCGCGACCTAACTCAACCTAACCTCTAATTTCACCGCTCGATCCACGTGGACACAACGATAAATCGATAAATCATCGGTACGATCTCCCCGTGAACGCTTACATGTAACAACATGACGTGTAAGTTAGCTGATCGTTATCGAGATTGAATTTTCATTGCGATTAAGAAAAACTATACCGTAATAGAAACGCAAATATAAATTAATTTTAATATCTTCGACATCGATCGTTTTCTCGATTTGAAGTTGACACAAATATAATTTCTAAATTCTATTAATTTATCCGATAATCTATTAATGTATCATTTTCATTATATCCTTTATTTCATCGACTTCGTAGCTTTGTGGAACTAGAAATTCTTTCTAGTTAAGAAAATTTTTTAATAGTGCCGATAAAAACTCTTTCTACTCTTTCAACTATACAGTTTATTATATAAGATACGCTTAATTTTTCAAGAACGTTTTTAATATTTTTCTATCTTTTTTCGTGATTTTCATTTAAATTTTCTTTCATTTTTAACGTGGATTTTATCAAAAAATATGTGCATTTATGTAATTTCAGAAAAGTTTAAAATATCCTTAGGTGTCATCTAAGGATATACTTGAATATTCTATAAGTA